ACCCTAAGCCTAACCCACCCTAACCCTAACCCTCACTGACCCTAACACTAATCCGCACTGACCCTAAGCCTAACCCACACTGACCCATAACTCTCACTGACCCTAACCTTAACCCACACTGACCCTTACCCTCATTGTCCCTAAGCCTAACCCACACTGACCCAAAACTCTCACTGACCCTAACACTAATCCGCACTGACCCTAAGCCTAACCCTCACTGACCCTAACACTAATCCGCACTGACCCTAAGCCTAACCCACACTGACCCATAACTCTCACTGACCCTAACCTTAACCCACACTGACCCTTGCCGTTATTGTCCCTAAGCCTAACCACACTGACCCTAACACTAATCCACACTGACCCTAAGCCTAACCCATACTAACCCATAACTCTCACTGACCCTAACCCTAACCCACACTGACCCTTACCGTTATTGTCCCTAAGCCTAACCCACACTGACCCATAACTCTCACTGACACTAACCCTAACCTGCACTCACCCATTTGCCTGCCTCATGGGCTTCACCTGCTCGTCCTCCTTCCAGCTCATCCACAGGCCCACAGTAGCGGAGCTGCAGGCCAGGAAGATTCTGCGCTTCCATGAGTACGTTGAGTGCACTAGTGCCCACGACTATGACCGGCGTGCGGATAAGCCCTGGACGAGGCTCACGCCTGCTGACAAGGTGGGCATCTCCACCCATGTTTGTTTGCTTTTCAGCTTTCAAACAAGACGGGCGAGTGTGGGGGTGGCCACCAGGGCATCTGCATGGTTATGGATGTTCCTAAGAGGAACAAAAGCCACCGGGCTCAATAACCAGGTCGGGACTCACTACAGACTCTGCTGCTCGTGTGTGACTGATTCCTTGTGTCCCACAGGCTGCCATCCGAAAGGAGCTCAATGATTTCAAGAGCCTTGAGATGGATGTCCACGAGGACAGCAGGAAATACACAAGGTGATCACTTGGGGTGAAACATACTGTGACTTCCTCTGGATCAGTGTTTCTCAACCCAGTCCTCAGCGAACCCCAGCCAGTCCACGTTTTTGCTCCCTCCCAGCTCCCAGCGCACCTGTACCAGCTATTCGGTGTTCCTGCTTGGCTGGGGGCTGGGAGGGAGCAAAATCGTGGACTGGCTGGGGTTAGCTGAGGACTGGGTTGAGAAACACTGCTCTGGATGATTACTGTGTCGGATTGCCATGTGCTGTCAGGCAGTAATTGGTATTGACAATGTTTTCCTTCCCCCATCCCTATTCCACAGATTTCATCGTCCATAGAGCTTCTTCCTACTGGGAAGTGTGAAGACACCAAATGGACAATTTTTTTAAGATGTGGAGCACTAAAACTCAATGAGTTACTTTCATAAATGGTAGCAGTGATGTCACTGACGATGTCACCAGCCACCATGTCAGTGGTGGAAGTGGAAGGTCAGAGCACAGCTTGGTGGTGGGTGGTGCCCGGGCACTGTGGGTGAGCCATGTGCCAATGCCAGCTAGGACAGCAGTGATTGGCTGAAGAGTGAGGAGCATCTCCCTACCCCAGGAGAAGGTGCAGCTGGATGTGTTTAATTCTCTTCTCTTTCATCAGACCTGGAACATTTAACAGCACCACCAACCAAAACTTTACTAAGAATAATAAAAGGTGAATATAACAGAAATGCTTAACATCATTTTGTGAATAAGAGATGGACTTGAAGTGGAGGATCATGGGATGTGACATTTAGGTATTACAGTTCTGGGGCACTTATGTGTCAGTAGGCTGGAGTCTTATTTCGAAGTCTGAAAGACATGTAGAAGGAAAAAACAACCATCAAAACCACAAGACAGCAAGGCCTTGGTCACTTATAGGAGGCGCTGTGCTGTACACTAACAGGGCCCTTTTCCTCCTGGAGGAGGCGCTGTGCTGTACACTAACAGGGCCCTTTTCCTCCTGGAGGAGGCGCTGTGCTGTACACTAACAGGGCCCTTTTCCTCCTGGAGGAGGCGCTGTGCTGTTCATCAATAGAGCCTTTTTCCTCTTGGAGGAGGTGCTGTACTGTATACAAGCAAGGCTTTTTTCTGTCTCGAGGAGGTGCTGTGCTGTACACTAACAGGGCCCTTTTTCTCTTGGAGGAGGTGCTGTGCTGTAGACTAATAGGGCCTTTTTCCTCCTAAGCTGCCTGTGACCAGTAACAATGGGTTTTGTCTGCACAACCCAACCACCCACAACACAAGCCTAGATATGAGTATTTATAATTACTAAAAACTGAAGAAATTCTTCCTTCCTGCACTTAATTGAAAGAGGGAGAAATATTTTAGTGGTCAAAGAGAATGGATCCAGTTTTAATTTCAGAAGGTGAAACTAATATGAGTTTTAACATAAGTCAGGGTCAGATTTTAAAATACAAGTGCACAGCAAAACAACGCAGGAAAAAAGAGACCAAACCATTCTTACGTGTGAAAATATTGCAGGTGGGTATGTATTGGCCTCACAAGCAGATTTGTGTATAGATTATCTTGTTTTTAGCTCACAGTAAAGTGTCACAGCAGTGCCCTTACTGTTACTGTTGCTCATCTTTTGTATATATTCTCAATGTAGAAATTACCTGTAGTTAAGCTGTTAACTTCCCAATGGGTTCCTTGGACTCTGATTATAAACCTTCATTTCACATTATGGTATGTGTGTTTCTTGCACTTAAATGTTATCAACATTCAGACCTCATAAACTGCAGTTTTGTTTCATATTTATGTTCATAGACTGACTGGATTCCCAATGGCCATCAATGTCATGTCTTTTAAACGGTAAATGCATGCAGCATCCCTTTGGCCTGGTGAATTACTGGATTGTGAACCTAGAAAGGGGAAGATATGGTCCTCCTTATCCCTGAGGGATGTGGGTCCCAGTGCCCACGCTTGGAACCTCTGTTAGAAGGATGGCCACACTGCATGACTGTTACACAGCAAGCTATTTACTGCATAACTGGCATGGCTGACAAAGGGTACAGCTGTGTTTCTCCTCAGTGGCATCCGTCTGTTCCTGTGCAGTACCGCCGTGACAGACGAGGACACCTTATCTGCACTCCAAGCCGTTACAGGCGCTCAGCATTTCTTCCTCTTACAGCATCCTCCATGCAGACCCGTCCTCACCTTCCAGGGAAAAGGCACCTGAAATAGAATTTTTGTTAATTTCCTGGAAGAACAAACACAGGACTGACTATTACCCGCCTCACCCTGCAGGATCCCTGACAGCTGGTATCCATTTCAGCAACAATAACAAAACAGGGTGCCTTTAAAGGACTCTCATATTTCATTAGTAAGGATGTACTTTCAATTCAATTCAGTTCAATTCAATTTATTTTTATATAGCGCCTTTTACAGCAGTCATCCTGAGGCGCTTTGCATGGGTCTATTGTGATACATTACAACACCATTAGATAGAGTAATACAGAATGGGGAAAAAGGAAAGAAATTAAATGGGGAAAGCCAGATGACAATGGAGGAGAGGAACCAAAAACTCCCAAGTAAGGAGAATAAAAACCTCTGCTGGTCCAAGGTCAACTGGTCCCATTCCCGATGTCCGGACACATTGGAAGGCAGAGAGCATGGATGGTCAGAACATGCATTCACACATAAATGAACAAGCATAATAGATAAAAATGGCATGTACAGCAGCACCGATGGCCATAGTTACAGTCTGTTAGGTTGCGGGTAAGCTAAACTGAAGTAATAGGTCTTCAGTCGAGATTTAAAGACTGAGACTGAATCAACATCCCGAACATTGACTTGTAAACCGTTCCACAATATAGGGGCCCTGTAGCAGAATGCTTTACCGCCCACTCTCACTTTACATGTGGAACGACAAGGAAACCTGCATTCTGTGATCTGAGTGGACGATGCGGCTTGTAAACTTGAAGTAATTCTGTCAGATAGGCAGGAGCTGGACCTTTAAGTGCCTTATATGTAAGTAGGAGAACTTTGAAGTCAGCTCTAAACCTAACAGGAAGCCAATGCAGGGAACTAAGAGTGTGGAGATTATGAACTGCCTTCAAACAACAGAACCTTGGTTTTCATTATGTCATTTACGACTTCAGTTAAGGCAGTTTCAATGCTGTGTCCCTGGTGGAAGCCTGACTGGAAACAATCCAGTATGTTGTGTCTCTTCAAGTATGAGTGAAGTTGAGCAGCAACCATCTTCTCCAGAACTTTTGACAAAAACTGTATGTTAGAGATAGGTTTGTAATTGTTGAGCTCCTGTGGATCCAAACTTGGCTTCTTCAGTAGTGGCCTGATTACTGTTACTGTTACAGTTACAGGAACATCACCAGATAACAGGGACACATTCATTATGGCAGTTATAGGTCTTGCCAGAACTCCCAGGGATTCTTTAAGAAGCTTAGTGGGGATTGGGTGCAGTGGACAAGAGGTCGGTTTGATTTTAGTTACAATAGTTTTTAGCTGTTGTTCATTCATTAATTCAAAAACATTAAGGGTGTGTTCACGTTCCGTTTGCATTTAACTTAATTGTGAGCCATTTAAACGTGCTTGAAGTCTAATGTTTGTAATTTTATCATTAAAGAAGTTCATAAAATGTTGGCTACTGAAATTACTCAGTAACAGAAGTTCAGCCTTATTTGTTAGATGATCTATTGTTTTAATAAGGTAGTGAGGATTATTTCTATTGCGATCAGTAAGGTTAGAATATTAGGCTGAATGTGCCCTATAAAGGGCTTGTTTGTATTGTTGCAGGCTGTCAGACCAGCCAACCTGAACACTTCTAAGCCCGTGGATTTCCATTTGTGCTCCAATCTGCAGCACTCCTGTTTGCAAGAGCGTGTGATCATTAAACCATGTGGAGCTTCTGGTGGTTTTTGCTACTTTATTCTTCAAAGGAGCTGTTTCATCTAAAATCTAACCACTGTATTGAAGTCATGGGTGACTTCATTGACATCTGTACTAGACATGAAGTTCCCATTACTGCATTAAATAAATCGTAGGGAATTTCTATCATGTAGGTGACGTGTCCTAATAACCTTCTCTGCCAAAGTCAAGGGGGGTGGCTCTTTCACGAAGGTGATTAGAAAATGGTCGGAGAAGGACTTTTCCAATGGACAGACATGATACATGATGAGCATAAATTCCATGAGTAATAATTAAGTCTTTAATTGACACATAGTTACACTGTATGGACAAAAGTATTGAGACACCTGGCCATTACACCCACAGGCACTTTCAGGACATCACATTAGAAATCCACCCATCGATCCATCTTCTGTAACCAGCCTGTCCCAGAGGCTACAAGCGCAAGGCAGGGAACAGCCCAGGATGGGGGCCCACTCACACATGCACACCTACGGACAAACTGATAATGCTAATCAGCCTCAGCATATTTTGGACTGTGGGGGAAAACCGGAGGAATCCATGTAGCTGGTCCCCCTTTCGCAGCCGTCACGGCTGCCATTCTTCTGAGAAGGCTTTCCACAAGATTTTGGTAGTGTATCTGTGGGAATTTTTACCCATTCATCCAGAAGAGGATTTGTGAGGTCAGGCCCTGATGTTGGACATGAAGGCCTGGCTCACATTCTCTGTTCTATAGTTCATCACAAAGGTGTTTGATCAGGTTGATGTCAGGGCTCTCTGCAGGCCAGTCAAGTTCTTCCACAGCAAACCCACCCAACCCTGTCTTTATGAATCTTGCTTTGTGCACTGGGGCACAGTCATGCTGGAACAGAAAAGGATCTTCCTCAAACTGCTCCCATAACATTGGAAGCATAGAATTGTTCAGAATGTCTTGGTATGCTGAAGCATTAAGAGTTCCCTTCACTGGAACTAAGGGGCCCAGCCCAACCCATGAAAAACAACCCTACACCATAATCCCCCCTCCACCAAACTTTACATTTGTCACAATGCAGTCAGGCAGGTAACATTCTTCTAGCATCCGCCAAACCCAGACTCGTCCGTCAGACTGCCGGACAGGGAAGCGTGATTTGTCATGCCACGGAACGTTTCCACTACTCTAGTTTCCAGTGGTGATGTACTTTATACCACTCCATCCGATGCTTAGCATTGCGCTTGGTGATATGAAGCTTGCATGCTGTTGCTCGCCCACTGAAGCCCATTCCATGAAGCTCCTGGCACCCAGTTTTTGTGTTGGGCTTTATGCCAGAGGAAGTTTGGAACTGTGCTGTTACTTTGTCAACAGAGTGTTAGTGACTTACACACGATGTGCCTCAGCACTTGGTGACCCCGCTCTGTTACTTTACGTGGTCTGTCACTTCATTGCTGAGTTTCTGTTGTTCCTACATGCTTCTACTTTGCAATAATACACTTACACTTACAATTGGCCGTGTAATATCAAACAGGGAAGAAATTTCATGAACTGACAGGTGGCATCCTATGACAGCACTTCCCCTGAAGTCACTGAGCTCATCAGAATAATCCATTTTTCACAAATATTTGTAAACCTGACTTCATGGCTCGGTGCTTGATTTTATATACCTGTGGCAATGGGTCTTAATGAAACACTTGAATTCAATGATTAAGTAGTGTGACCCAATACTTTTGTCCATATCGTGTATTTGTTGTAAAAATCCCATAATGCAATGTGTTAGTAGAGCATGTATCCACCTTCCTGGAAGCGCTACTGTGGAAACGATTATGGGTGTAACTTCCAGTGAAACAATGGAAGTAGCCAAAAGCCGCAACAACTTACTATGCTTTCGAGTGGCTAGCCAACCGTGCCAGTCCATTCAAACACGTCTGACATGTATAGTGTTACATATATTGTATTTCAAGGAATATATTTCTTCCTGTGTTATTAGCATTGCCTGAAATGGCATTACGGAGCTCTGGTACAAGTTGCACTGTTCGCAGCTGTACTAATAACGAAGTTAAATTAAATGTGTGCCTTAAACATCAATGCTTTGATCATACACCAAAAAATAAAGAGGGACTGTAGCTGTCAGTCATTGTACCTTATCCATCACCTGCCAAAATACTGTATGATGAATAGAGGTGAAATTGAATGAGCTGATTTGACTGAATAACCTAAACTTAGAGAGACCACCAAAAACGCTCTATGTATGCTCACGTCACTTTCACATTGACAAGAAGACTGGGTCGCCTGTCTTGTCTGATCCTACAGGAGAGCTAAAATTGTCACATCACGTGGACGGCCGGGTACGTGTTTGTCATTGACCTGGGGAAGCGATGGCACCAGGGTGCACTACAGGAACAAGGTAAACCGACAGAGACAATATCCTCTGGGCAATGTTCTGCTGGGAAACCTTGGCTCCTGCCATTCATATGGATGTTTCTTTGACATGTACCACCTACCTAAACATTGTTGCAGACCAGGTACACCCCTTGATGACAACTGGATTCTCTAATGACAGTGGCCTCATTCAGCGCCCTGCCACACTGCAAAAATTGTTCAGGAATAGTTTGAGGAACATGAAAGACGGTTCAGGGAGCTGACATGGATTCCCCAAATCTCAATCTGTGGGCACAAATCATAACTTCTGAATTTTGCACAACCCTGGACAGCATTAGTGTTTGTGTCAGGTTGACAGGCTTTGTTCCCACATTTTGATTTGTTATCAAATCAAAACAGAAGATGGCAAAACTTTGTATCTTTTAATAACATTCTGGCTCCAGAGGGAATTGCATAAAAAACAA